GAATCCAATCTGTCATCAATTACCTGGAATTTCATTCCCCCGTCTGCCCCTTGGTATGAGGGATTTTGGGAACGTCTAATTGGCAAGATGAAGAAAATCCTAAGAAAGGTTCTGGGTAGAACATCGTTGAATTACGAGGAAATGGTAACAGTTCTCTGTGACTGTGAAAGTGTGATGAATTCACGCCCCCTGACTTATGTGTCCGATGATGCGGAGGAGTTATCACCAATAACACCTATGATGTTCCTACAAGAAATAAGACAGGTGGGTGTTGCAGATTTCGATATTTTAGATCAAGAAAAATTCAAAAAACGACTTGCATACAGAAATGAAATCTGTCAAAATCTTCGAAAGAGATTCAGAACGGAATATCTTGGTCAACTTCGAGAAACTTCTTCAAAGACCAAAACTTCAGAAGCTCTGTAAGTTGGGGACATTGTGATAATTTGGAATGACAATGCAAGCAGAATTCAGTGGCCTCTCGGGCGTATTTTAAAGATTTTGCCAAGTAAAGATGAACTTGCCCGAACTGCTAAGTTGCAAACCAAATCCGGAATCATAATCCGTCCTTTGAGAAAACTTTGTCCTCTTGAAGTCAACAAAACAACTGAAGAAAAATTGACGGAACAACTAAAGAAGCAAGCTCCACCTCAGTGTGCGCCTCTGCAAACTCGTGCTGGAAGACAAGTGGGTGCTCCTGATCGATTTGAACCCTGATGCTGTGACTTTTCCTTTTTTGTTTGAGTTCAGTTAGTCACTCTACTGAACTCAAGGAGGGGAGTGTTGAGAATACCTCGATCCCCCCTAGCGGACAAATACAGAAACATTCAATTACGAACTTTTTCTCCACGAGCGTGGTATAGCTTAGAATTTGTAATGAACAACGTACAACTCTTTTCATCTGTATATAGCTTTCCCTTTTTTTATCATGCTTAAATTATTAAATTTAATTCTTAAACGTTTTGTGCGAAGTATTTTTCAGCCTAAGTGTATTAGTTATCTACAGCCCAAGACCTTTGGAAGAGAATACTAGGTGAAGGCAGAACAAGAAGCCGAAACAAGGTAAGATTCCTTGTTGATATATATTGAATCATTAGAAGTCTTTGTTTAGTATTCGTTATAATTACATTTATTACATCGGCCTACCTATGTAGACACAATGAAACAAATCTCTTTTTTCGAATAAATGTAGGTGGCGCTATATGTAACTCCGGCTTCAACACATAGTATAGAGAAAACTTGAACGTACCAACTTAAAAACCTTTTTTTTTTTCAAATTTCTACTAAACTATTCACAGTATGATTATGCAAATTCACATGAAAGTGTAAACAAATAATGCTAATCTACGTATGTCTCACAAAAGAAATTTGACAAAAAAAAAAAAAAGTTATTAAAAATGTCCACACTACCACCGCCCCCCTTCTGTATTACTTCCATTCAACTGGAATGGTATGTTGATCTACTTAACCAAATTAGCATTTCTAATGCTAAACTGCATAAATAAAGTAAACACTTGACTAGGAAACCACATGTTTATTTTGTATTTGATATTCATTAATCATATTATAACGTCATATTTGTATTTTATGGGTATTTGGCACTATATAAAACAATTTTAAAAGTTTTGCATGTCAACAATTTTTTGATGGGTCTGGACGAAGAAGTAATAAAGAAAATATTGCGTATAACTTATCAAATTTGAGTTTAAATGAGCTGCAGGAATTTCTTATAAAATTTTTAAAGAAAACAGATGAAAAGTCGGTGGTTTATTTTGTGTTAGTATTCGAAAACCACCGACTTTTCCCCTGCCTTTATAAGAAATCATTGGTAAATTTATAAGAAATTCTTAGATAACTATAAAAGTAATTAAAAACATAGTAAAGTTATAAGAAATAAACTTTGTATAAAATGACCTTATTATCTGGAAAATTAGCCGAAACTACATAAACTCAATATTTGAAAGTTAAACGTAATTTTTTATTTATAACTTTTTTGTGCAGACCCATAGAAATATTATTGTTTTTTTTATTAAATGTTTCAATTATTTTTTATTCTTTTATTTTATTACTATATTCAACCCTTTCGCACCGGAAGGGTCATGTATTGTCCCAGACAGGAAAAATTTTGATATTACAGCTGGGACAACATGGGTCCCAGATACTGAATAACATCTAGGACATGAAATAACGCCACGTTGGGCCTCCAAACTGATTCTAAGGCTGTCTCAATATATTTCCATAATTTTCTCATCTTAATCGTATCCGATCTAATCAAGCGAACGACAACTCTCAAGGTTGCTCAGTTGATAATTCTCATTTCTTACTTAAATTTATTCATTTCTTTCTAACATTTGCCCGTTGCATTTTTACACGAAATTTTTCAGATAAATTCTTCAGAAATTTTTCATTTTCTTTCCTTCTTCTGATGAAGGGTCGAAATGAGTCGAAAGAGAATTTATCTTGACAACAAGTTGAGACAGCTCGCTTAAATTAATGACTCTTCTGAAACTGAAAACTCTTGAGTCCTCATTAAAGATTAGAGGAAAGCAGCGAGAGCTGAGTCTACATTAGTGGTTTATAAATAAATATGTTAATAAAAATGTACATGAAAATGTTAATAAAAAAACGTTGTCTGAAATATACATCAAAATGTTAAGTGACATGTCCATAAAAACGAGCTATTGACTCTAGAATTCAGGCCGGGACATACCCTGTCCCGGGTTTCAGATGCTTTGGGTTAACTGTGGAACATATGCTGTCCCATAAATGAAGCTTGTGAAATCATTGTTGTTGATGGTGCACTGTTATGGGGACGTTTATGCGTCTCCAAGATCTTCAACTCTTTAGGCATAAAAGCTATTTTATCTATTAATCGCTTGGAAGAGAAATAACCATATATGGCAACGTTACTTTTAATAAGTAGCGAGTAAAAGTACAAGTATTTTTAAAAAATGTAATGAGTAAAAAGTAAAAAGTTCTTATTTTAAAAAGTAACGAGTAAAAAGTAAAAGTACAAGTACTAAACAAAAAAAGTAACGATTTAAAAGTACATTTCTAGGAAATCGAAAATTCAAAGTAACCTGAAATTTTATTGAATAATATTCTTATGCTCTTTAATGTTTTTGCAAAAATTTTATTTATTTAATTATTTTTAATTTTGAAAGTTATGGATATTTAATTTAATTTATTATTAATTTAATTTATTTTTAAATTCGGAAGAATATTATAATGTAATTTTGTAATATAATCGTATAATATAATTTTAAAATCAAATATAATTTTAATATCAAACTTTTTACGGATTTGCACGAAAAAGAAATTTTATCTATTGATTTTAATTTTTAGTTTATTATTTTCATTTATTTAAATTACCATTGATTTAAAATTGTTTCACTCTTTAGAAGAGCGTTTTAAAAGCACAAACATAAACAAAGCAAACACGGGGTTTCAGATAGCTTTGTGAGCTTTGAGCTAGTAAAAAATAATTGAATGTGCAGTATAAGTTGTAACAGAAGGTATTTAAACGCGAAGTTAGCTGTGAATGCATATATATTGCACATTAATTTTATAAATTAAAAGAACATAAAAAAAAAATTTCAATTTAACTTTTTTTTTAGAAAGCTTATCGAGTTTTAGAAAAAAGTTACGATTTCAATCGATATTTCCGTTACAAATACTTGTACTTTTTCCCTAAAAAAGTAACGAAAGTACAAGCAACAGTACTAAATTTAAAAAGTAACGAAGTACAAGTAAAAGTACGTATTTTTTACTTGTACCGGCGGTACAAGTAACGAAAGTAAAAGTACTGCCATATATGGAAATAACTGAATATGGTAATGGGGCGCACTCAGTCGGAAATTTTTGCCGTATTGAAAGGGTAATGCATACAAAGAGTTGTCTCAGTCTTTTATAATGAAAAAAAGTTAAATGACTTCCTTACATTCAGATTTTGCATCTTCATAAATCTATCAAAATACCAATAGGTACTTACGTGCTGACTACCTCGGTAATTTAAGAAAGGAAACGATTTGTTGGGACTTTAAGAAATAATTCTAGTTAACTTACACATTAGCAAGATAATTTGTAGAATAAATCATTTCTACACAGTAGCAGTAACACAAGTAATTTGTTACAGCTTTGTTACGATATTTTAAGAAATCATCCTAGTAAATCTGCACATTAGAAAGATTATCTGTAGAAAAACTGATTTCTACAGTGTAGCTGTAACACAAGAAATTTGGTTATCTTATTAATACTACAAAAAAGGGGGGAATGTCTGAAAAAATTACCTTACTGTATGGTAAGGACATTTCTAGTGAACAAAAACCATAATTCTAGTTAATAAAACCAAAATATACGGTATTTAAACCATTCATTTGGTAATTTTTTTCGCTCGTTTGGTCACGGTTTACCGGAAATTCTAGTTTTTAAAATTATAGTTCTTATTACTACACAGTTAGTATAATATACAAAACTAAAAAGTAAATTTAACCTAATGTTTTTATTTTTTATTTTGTTATGCTCTGAGGTATCATGATCTAAAATAATCATTTTTTACAACATTTACCAAACTATATATTATATATTATGAAATCATATTTTATTGTTAATTTTGCCAAAATCATTATCGAAACACTACGGTAAAAACTACCGGTTGGTATTTTGAACTTTTTGGTATTCCCATAGAGTAAAAAACACGGCAAATTTTACCGTGTTATGGTATTTTTAACCACGCTTTATTTTCTCAGTGTACTATTTCAGTCAACTAAAACTGTTAGACATAAATTTAAGAAAAATATTATTTTTATGCCTTTTCAATTATTCTAATATTTTTGCGTTTCAAAAATTATACCAAATGATAACACTTGAACTAAAATGGTTAAAAGCTGAGTTTTTACAGAAAACGTTAAAATGAGAACTGTTTACATTTATTTATTATGTTTAGATTTATTTATTACGTTCATTAATGTAATAATGTTTATTAAATAACTATAACTCACTGTATTATTTCCTGATTGACACTGTTCTGGACCAATTCTGTTATTATTTCGCATTTCTGAAAAATAAAATATACTTTTATAGCATACGATTATAGCATGCATTCATGCTACTGTATTTTAAATGTAATATATCATTTAAGACTTACTAAAAATAATATAAATATATCAAAATAAATATAAGATGGTTAATTATTTTCTCTTAATAATATATAACTTTCAATTTTTTGCCAAAATGGTCAAACAAACATACACATTCTCTCTAACTAATATTCGAGCGAAAAAAGGCATTATTAATGCCTGGTGAATCACTATTGAGGAAGGTAAAATCGTAGCAAGATGCTCCATTCAACATAGTTGTTTACCCAGTTCAGGGAGAATTAGGAAGCCTAATGTGACAGGTCATGAAATGTTTAAACATATGTTCTACATTACCCCACTGCAGCTCGCAAAACAAAAAACGAGCTATCCTGATTAACTTTTGATCTAATGATCGAATCTTCACATTCTAGAATTCAATCTTAATGGTTCAAAGAGGTGACCTCAAATATACTGAAATATTGACTATTTTTAAAATTACGAAATTAGAGACAAAAACGTATTTCCTCAGAGAAAGTATAACTTTTTTTCGACGATTTTAAACACATAAAATATAAGGGCTAACCGTAATCCCAAAAATAGGTTCCCAACAGTTTGATCAAAATACCGGTCCAAAATTTGAACCCCTTGATGTTAATTTTACTTTTCGCATATTTCGAAATATCTCGAAAAATTTTTAAGCGAATTGGAAAATTTTTGCACAAATTTATAAAATTCGTTTATTTAAATATAATATATTAAACTGTAAGATATGTAGTTTATTACATCATTATAAAAAATGGAATTTTAAGGGACAAACAAAATTTGAGCGAAATCGATCAAATACTTTATCAGAAATCTTATTTTGAAAAAGTCGTATTTTTAGAATCTGATTTCTCCGGAAATATTTGACTAATTGTGCTCTAAATTTCTAATTTGTCATGTAAAAATACATTCTTTAAAATAATGTCAAAAGTTGCATAATTTACAATCCAATTTTTTTCCACTGCTATTTAATAAAACAATAAAAAATAATAAAGGCTTACAAAAATTCATTTTTTGCTAGGACTTATCAGTGGTTAAAAAAATTTTATATTTGTGCGCTAAATTTTTTCAATTTTCTTGAAACGTTCTCCAGATATGGTTAAATCAAAAAAGCTATTATTTCCCACTGCTATTTAATAAAGCAAAAAAAATAATAACAATAAAGGCTTACTCAAATTCTCCTTTTTGCGTGGATTTATCAGTAGTTAAATTAATTTTATATTTGTGTGCAAAATTTTTTTAATTTTCTTAAAAAGTTCTCGAGATGTGGCGAAATCAAAAAAAAAAATTATCAGTTAAGGGACCAAACTTTCAACCACTCTCCTGACAATACTGACCATATATCCCAGCTTGCTCCTATCCCCTATATTTTGGGGGTCGGAAATCCACATTCATCGAGAGAGAAAAAAACTATGTTTATTCAGAGAAAGTACTGTTTTGGGCCTGATTTCGTAACTCAATACATCGTCTGCACTAATTAGGTCACTCCTCCTGCCATTGAGTCCTAGAACGTGAAGATACCTGCAATAGATCAAAGCTATTCAGGGTGGTCCAGTTTTTATTTTGCGCATTGTATACAACGTTAAACTTGAATGAGTCAGGAAAGTGTGGAAATAAGCTACTCCGTGAGCTCGAAACACTGTTCTTGAAATTTCCAGAATAGTTGCCAAACTTAAGTAGGAAATATACAATAATGTTCAAAAACTATCTGATATTATTTCAGAATCAAATCTATTATTGTTTTATTTTAATGCATAAATATAAATTATTTTTAAAAAAATTAGTCAGAACCAAATAGCTAAAATAAAAATTAAGATAGATCAAACAACTAAACCATTTTACATTGTGATGCATTTCACGTTTTGTATTCCGATAACAATTAACTAATTTTACATTACATAAATCCTTACATTAAATGCAACCGTTACATAGGTATATTTCTATATTTTACATTCTAAAAACAATCAATCAGTTTTACATTACATGATTGAGAATGGCTTCTACGCAATGATGACATCTATATTTTGCATTCTACCAACCTTATCACATAAAAAAAATTGCTGCTACGGAATAAGCTATTTTTTATTTAATTTACTGAAACTTTAAAAGTGTTCCAATCTTAAACAGTACAAAAATCATTTTAACACGCATTTAAAATAACTTACCTTCAAACATATCGTGCATTAATTTACCATAAGTGGCACACTCTGGATACAAGGGTAGCATGATCAATCCACCAGCACCTCCTGGAGCAACAGCTCCTACTGGACCTTCGGCGCCTCCTGGACCAACTGGGCTACCTGGACTACCTGGTGGTCCAGGAGTACCAGGAGAACCATTAGGATGACCATATCCTCCCTGGCCACCATAGCCTCCTGGACCACCAGTGCCTCCTCGACCACCAGGGCCTCCTGGACCACCTGACCCTCCTGGACCACCAGGGCAATTAGGAAAACCAGTTCCTCCCTGGCCACCAGTGCCTCCTGGACCACCAGTGCCTCCTGGACTAGCAGCGCCTCCTGCACTACCGGCGCCTCCTGGACCAGCAGGGCAACCTGGACTACCTGGTGCTCCAGGAGAACCAGGACTACCACCTTGACCTTGTACTGTTACAAGGATTACCACTGTGATCAATAAAACGGCGAATATGAAACACTTCATGTCGAGACAAAAGGAAACATGCAAAAGTATGCTTTATATAGCAATAGTTCGATGCTGTGTGTATACTTCCTGCGACGTATCTGATTCATAGATAAATTATTAACAACACGCGCTGTCGAAACAACACGTTATCAGTAAGATTCCAGACTCGCGCTGCCGAAACAACACGCGCTGTCGAGAATTTTCTTCTTCTTTTATGTAAGAAGAAGCAGTAAGATTAAGAGTATAAGCAAATGTAAACATAATAGTTGGATACACGTGTTGAAGTGATAGACAAAAACTTTTTACTTGCGACTTCCTCATAAGTTCATTTCTTATATTATTTCAGAAGTTTAGAAGTTATTGATTAGAGGTTTTCTCTTGAATAAATTTCGCTTGTGTTTGAAACAATAACATAATAATATTTGCTATCTAAATAATGAATTCGAAATATTATTGCGGATGAAAACAAATTGATCTTATTACATTACTAGCTGGATGCCCGTTCTAAGTACGGGTTGAAAAAAAAGTAAATAATCATTAATTTAATACAGAGCAACATTACAAAATCATGTACAAATATGAAAGACATATATAAACACAATTAATACAGCTAGAATAATTTAATTTTTATTTATTTATTTATTATTATTATTTGTCCTTTTCGGTTGCTTTACGTTATTAGATAAAGAAAAACCAAGAATAATTTTTTTACAATTTTATTTATTTCCAATGTACAGTCCGCAAAAAAAAAAGATATCACCCTGAATAACTTTCGTTCTAATGATCAGATTTTCACGAACTAAAAGTCAATCTTAATGGTTCCCGGGGGTGACCTCAAATATGCTAATTAATTAGTGCTAACTATTAATTAAGTTACAAAATCAGACACAAAAACGTACTTTCTCTGATAAAACATTTTTTTTTTACATATTTGGAATCTAGACACTTGAATTAGGGGGGTAGACAAAATTTTGAAAAAATTAGATTGTAAATTGGGTAGCAATAAGGGTTTATATATTTGGCGATAGTCCAGAAAACCGCCAATAAGCAACCTAGTAAAAGAACTTTGAATGTAAAAAAAAATGAAATAATGTTCTGTGATTGCTGGGAGAGGTTTAATTAATTGTTAATAGAAAATATCTCGAAGTTTCAAGGCAATAGACAATTTTTAAGCTGATTTCTGTCCAAAAAGCAAAAAAAAATTTTATATCTCCTTTGAAAAGGAAATTTGAATTGATTTAAGAATTATTTATGATTTTTTAATTTTTTAGAATTTAAATACATGAACTTTTTATCTGATATTATTTAGATATGTTGTTTTTGCTATATTTATTTGAGGATTTCTTACTAAAATCAAATTGACATAACTTATTATAGCTATATACAAAATTTTAGGGATAATTATTTTTACAGATTTAATCGAGTCTTAAGAAACAAAAAGTGCTTCAAAAATAAAATGTAGATTGTATAGTAATTCTAATACACATTCACAAGGTTTTCTATAATTTACGATATTTCTTTTTTCTATAACTCAAGGAATTTCTGAATGTTAAGTGGCATTTTAAAAACATTGAAACATGT